CACATCGCGCTTCCGCTGATGGTGCTGAGAGAAAATAGCGAGGGACAAAGAAGAAAGTGTATAAAGTACGGGATTATTTCAAGCTAAAAGAAAACAACAACTCTGTAATGTTACAGTCTGTCCACCGTAAAACGAAACTTATGTCGCCTCGGCATCTGATCAGAAAGCACCCGGTGTTCTGCCAGAGGACCACAGACAAGGTAACAGTAACAACAACTTTAGCATTTAACTGAAATCTTGATTGATTGTTTGAGTTGAAGGCTAGCCAAAGTAAGCCGCAATCCCCAGCTGAAAATGTACACATGAGCGTTTGTTGTTGTCCTTTTTGGGCAGTGAGCTGTAACCTCACAGTCATGAGTTAACTGGGTGTCGGGGAGCTGCACCTTTTTACTCACCTTTTGGCCACTGCCAAGCAAAAGTACTTCTTAAACAACGCATCAATGAATCGTTGATTTAATCTATAGAAACTGTGTGTCATGTTCTGATCATAAAGAAAAGTTTAAATTAATACTATTAACCATCTGATTTCTTCAACTTTCACTCAGGAGCAAAAATCACCCTTTAACCTTGAAAGAAATAATGATTTGACATTTTTTTTTCTCCTTCTGCAAAGTAACCTCAATTGGGGGCCTAAACATGCTGTGCAGTCTAAAGCCATTGACGATTAAAAGTTGTACAAACGGCGTGTCCGTGGCGTCCAAAATCGATGATTCGCCATGAAAGAGGAAGTTGTTGTAACTTCAGTGTACATGCTCACATCTGCACCAAACTTTACGTGCTTCATAACAGTCCCACCCCGAACACATCTACATAGTAGATAGTCGTAGTACGAAGTGCTACGTAGCACCATAAAGGGACACAGAAAGTGATGATGAACACGTTTGTGCAACATCCGAAGGCCGTGGCAAATTCACAGCCAGACTGTCAGAGCTCCAGAATCTGCAACACCGCCGCCTCACACCTCACATAAAAACAAGCGAGCTTGATTGAGCGAGAGAGCATAGGTTATGGTTTGTCAGTGAATAAAGGCTGTAGCTACAGCTCCTGTATGTTGTTTAATAACTGCTGGAAACGTGAAGGGGTAACAACTGCAACTGATTTCATTAATTTGCATCCGCTACCACAGAAAAAGAACTGTGGCCTTATCAGTAAAATGAGATTAAGGAAGATTATGTGTATGAATGTTAGTTTCTGTTTGAGCACTTAGGCTCAGTGAACGAATGTGTGTGAATAGTGAATGCAGATATAGTAAAAGCGATTTGAGTGGACGAAAAGACTAGAAAGGCGCTATACAAGTACGGAGCATTACAAACAGAAATCTGTATACTTTGGTCAACTGGAATAATGTCCAGACCTGTGGTTGCTTGAGCACACAAAGAGCAGAGGTGGAAAAGGTTTGAAAACACAAAAGTGAGGTAAGAACCTAATTGTAGCCTGATCAGACTAAATTACCATTTAACATCATCTACCGGGCAAGTTGAGCCCATTACTTGGGGAAACTTTTGTTCACACCTTGTCAGAGAGGATTTGATTTAATGTAAGTTGGGCAACTGGCTATAGTTTATGGTTGCATTGTATTAGCCTGCAATTTATAGCTCGTACACTCCATTTATATACACACACACACACACACGCACACACGCAGCAAACAACAACAATAGTAGTTATTTTCGAAAAAATAACTACTATTACTTACTAACGACTATTTTGATAGTCAAATAATCTACTGATTATTGAAACGAATAATCAACCATTGGGACTATGAATCTCATCGTCATGCATCTTATTTAGCTATCAGCTTTTAAATTTCACTTTAGGTTGTTTTAGGCATGTGCTAATTAACAATAAAGACAATATAAAATGAACACTGCGTTCAAAAATATTTTAACAAACTGTGACCTCACATGATTTCAACACACCAGTAGGTGGCCTTCAGTGTCATGCTTGGCATCCCATTAGCCTCGAAGCAGCACTGTGGCACAAAGTCTGAAATAAAAGCATTAATATATTTCCCCTGGAGATTTAAACTTGTCCTCTAAGTGCTTTTTACTGGCAACCGTTCATTTGTGTCTCCACCCAGCTACGCAGTATTAACAGGAATTAATAAGTGTGTAATGTTATCATTTCCTCATTCTTAAAATTCTGAGATACGACTTAGGAATCATTACAGTGGATTTCACAAGGAGCCCTGACTGAGCTCCTGTTCTGGGGATACATTTAGTGAAACAGCTACACAAGGCGAGGACGTTGGCTGTATTCCACAGCTGGACAACTGGTCCATGTCATTCCACAAAACTGATCCAGTGAGTAATACTGCACACAGGAGTGAAATTGATCTGGACAGATGTGTTCAGCAGACCGCAAACAGCTCTTACACAACAGCATAATTTTTCTTTACAAGGCTGCCAAGACATTAGGGAAATATCCTTTACACAAACCACTATCAGTCTTGAAAATACAACAGACTTAAGGTTAAAATGTTATTTAGATTCTGTATACGCAAGCAGCACCAACCAAGCAAAACCAGGCAATAAAATAATGTGCAAACATGCCCTGAAAAAAGACGTGTCTGCATAACATCGCGTGCCAGCGTCCTTGTCATGGCAACCCATCCTGAGCCCTGGCCATTCATCGTGGGTGCAGCTGGTACTTGTCTCTATGGTAGTTCCCTCAAGTACAACTCTGCTTGGACAGACTGCTGACGGGGGGGATATCATCATCCTCCTTCCTCACACTTTTTCTTCTCATCTTTCTGCCTCTGGTTACCCAGGCTGTTTCTATAGTGTAGTGTTCACCCCCCGCTATAACCAAATCACCAGGGACAGTCACTTCACAGTTACTTGCAGTGGGCTGCAAACTTAGCAATGACAACCATGGAGATGAGAAATCCCCCATGGGGCCAGAAAACACACGACAAAACTGGAGTAACAAGTTCCACAAGGATGAAGTGAGTTGACACCACAGGGCCTATAACATTGAGACTATTCAAACAAAATAAAACTGCATATACAGGGCTAGAGCTTACATACAGCAAAGATGCACCAGGCCTAAGGTGATTTCCAACAATTGTTCCATGGGAAAAAGATATCATATCCGAGAGTCTGATAGCTGATACCAACAACTAAACCAGATATCATTCTACAGCCGTGTCTTGTGATAGTCGTTTCAACAAAGATACTGCAACACACTTTTTTCTTAAGTTTGTGAATGCAGATATAGTAAAAGCGATATTTCAAAAAATTTGAAATATACTTCAAGAGGCTCTGTGAATAAATTTCATAAAGTATGGTCTGACTGTTTTGCCTATTATGATAGACTACAAATGCCGTTGTGTGGGATAAGACATAGACTGATCAGCAGCTTATAGGACATCGCACAAAAATCAGTTTGAGTTGGTCTTGAGACACATTCCCCACAGTGATATGATTTTATTATTTTACTTTATTATTTCATTTATCAATGTTATTAGATGAGAATAGCCGGGACTGGGATTGCTTTGTGTGAAGGGATGGCAGAAAGCAATCCCAGTCCCGGCTATTCTCATCTGTGATACCACGATGGTGGAACGAGCTACCACAGCCATCAGAGGAGGGGCGACCCTCTCTAACTTCAAGAAGCTCTTGAAAACTCATCTCTTCCGAGAACACTTCCTCTTATAACACCTCTAACTCCTAACCTCTAACATGCACTTCCTGTGCTCTTCTTCTTATATGCCCTACAATTATCTTGTATTGATTGCACTTTTTTGTTTTGATTGCACTTTTTGTTAACTCTTCCTTCTCTAGGTATTTACCCCTTTGATGTGATATGAACTATGAGCTCTTACTAGTATTTATTGCTGCTCTTACTAGTATTTATTGCTGCTCTTACTAGTATGCGTTGTCAGTTGTAGATCTGTATTTGATGCTCTGTTGATGCTTGTATGTTATTCCTCAAATGTAAGTTGCTTTGGATAAAAGCGTCTGCCAAATGAGTAAATGTAAATTTATTTTATTTTGACCCTGATCTATAACTATCTCACTGATACTAGAAATGTCACCTTTGTTACATTATTACTGTACATAGCATTTCAACAATCATCACTTTATACAGAGTGAATCATCCTGACCACACAGAGAGTTTGTGACATTAGGAAAAATACAACATCTCAGATGTCAGCTGGTTCAATTATTTGTCCGTCTTATCTAATAAAAGTTAAGTGCTTATCTCTACCACCTACACTGGTCCTTTCATTCCTCAAGTATGGACTCGATATAGATAATCGATTTAGACAGTTTAGAGGGGGAGGGGACCCATGCAGAGCCTTTTGTTCTGCTGAAGACCCAAGCGAATACGGGGAAAGAACAGAGACTCTGAAATCGAAGCACTCAAGCGAGGAAGTAGCATGAAATGGCCTAATCAATGAGTATTTTCAACAGTAACAGCGACCACATGTCATCAGCTTTGGCTAACTCAGGCCCCTCGTGAGTAGTTAAGCTATTAATAAACAGAGTTGCTTGCCAATTCCAGTTGTCATTAAAGTTACTACAAAACTTTTGGCTGTGTCGTCCTTGTGCTTTTAGCAGTGACACAGAGGCAACTTTAAACGTTTGTTTAGGTTAAATAAGTTAAAAGTTGTGCGTGCATTTCGTGGGGGTAACGTTAACGTTAAATTAATTGAGCTAACGTAACGTTCGACTGACTTGACTAACATTAGCTTATTACACAACGAGCAGCACTGTAAATTTCATTAGCTAACTAATAAAGCATACACATATAAAACGTGTATATTCTCTTGTGTGAACAAATCGACGTTTAAGTCGTTTACGTTATCATTAAGTTAACTGTTAATGTTAAGTTAACGTTACGTGTTTCCTAGTTACTTTTTTCCGTCAACGTTAAATAACATTATCTTTCAAGTGTTGTGTGACTGACGTGGGCACGTTTACTCAAAGCAAGATATGATCACCTTTAAGCCCTTGCCTCAGTCCTGTTAAATCAGAAAAGGAAAGTATTCTTACCCAACCTTCAACGACTGATCCTCGCCAGCTGTGACGGAAAAGAGACCAAACCAAACCAAGCCGAGCTAGCCGCTGCGGGTTAACTGACGTTAGTTAGCTGCCTGGCTAGCTAGCAGTCTCACGCTCTCACACACACACACACGGTGCTGTTTTCAATATATTTTACAGTTTCATTCGTACCAAAGGGGTTGCTTGTATCCCTTGTTTTCTTGAAGTAGCGGATAGCCGTCGATATCTCCAACAGTGCCCTCCCTCCTCCGTAATTCAGATATGTTTTGAAGTTGATGCTGTGTGGACGTCGCGATGCTGTAGTCTCAAAGAGCGAATGAGCAGAGTCAAATGTCGCACAGCATGTCCCCTCCCCTTTACTGGAAATCCCAAATTACGTTGTATAACGTTACCTATAAAGAAAAAAAGTATTTCGTTTTTCTCCCTCTCAATAGAATATTATTAAAACAATGTTATTCGTGCTTTTTTCGCACCAGGTTGGCCTGAAGTGCCACATACCTTGTGGATTGTAAAGCCATAATGTGACTTTTTTTGGGGGGGGGGGGGTAAAACAGCAAACATCTGTCCAAAACTAACAACCAACAAAAGTCTACTAAGCCTTTAGGTTTAACTTGTAGCTTGTAACTTGTCATGATTCCTTCAACCATGATCTCTGTGTAGCAGGTTCTGTTTTGGGCACAATTTGTATTCGTGCATTTAGGAATATATTAGGATCAATATGATCCTAATATATTAGACTATATATATTAGATGATATGATTATGCTCAGTCATTGTTTAAATATAGTCAAATGTTCTAGAATTGGATAAAAAAAATAAAAGAAAACAATAAATCACGTTTCATACAGGAGATTACATTTCACAGTTAAGGTAAGTAATAATAATTTACTTTTGATTATATAATAGGACTCATACTCTACTCACATTCTTTAATTCAAAAGCAAGTTCTGATTAATGAAAGCCAAACATAAATGTAGTATGTGTACTTACATGAAAATATCAATAAATTCTTTTTTCTGTCTGCCAGTACACTGAAAATTTTATGTTGTCTGTTTTTGATGGGACAGTTACAAAAATGTCTGTCCAACCACCTCGGTGCCAGTTATTTAATCTCAGGCGGTCAGCAGCTCAAACCAACATGGAAGCTTTGGTGTCAGCCTTGTGGTGTAGACTCTTCCCTGGACAGTACTCTGGACAAAACCACAAGCTGGATCAAATGTTTGACAGGATGTCCCACTGGCCAGAACTGGCAACCCTGCAGCTCTGTCCCTACTACTTTGACCAGGTCACTTACAGCCTTCCTACCAGAGGCCAAGTGAAACACATGTGGGTACAAGTCTCTCCAGTCTATAGAACCAGTACTGTAATTTCATATTCAGCGGGTTGCCACAGTATCGTGGATCCCCAGACTGTTTGTTTTGTTATCTACTTTGTAGTTCGGGATGTAAGAGCAGGTTATGTTGAGAATTTAGATCAGATTTTTAGATTGTCTTTATTTTAACTTAAATTAATTGTATTACAGTAAATTCTTAGTTATTCCTCAAGGGATTCTGGTCTTCAGCTTCATGTTAATCCAAACAATTAGTGGAAAAAGGTGATATTTGCTGTGTAGCTTGCTGTGGATTTGCTTATACTGCAGCTTGGGCGCTATAATGCATGATCTTCCCCCCCACTTGTGACCTGAAGGGAGAGCTGCAACCTCAGGCTGCAATGGTTCAACTCATGGACAGACATAAAACAAGAGAGGCAGAGGGCCACTGAGCGGCATGAAAGACAAAAAGCCCGGCCCAGTACTGGCATCCACTTGAGTCGACTCTGTCAACTCCAAGATCCAAACACTGGCAAGAGTATGTCCACAAAGGAGTATACTTACCTGATGTATGGCTACCGCTTCTAACTGCCAACAACCTGAAGTTTTTTTGTTCTCATAGTTGTTACTAAATCTGTCTTATTACAGACGTGAATTTTGAGTATGTGTCTGATGTTGTGATACCAGCATAGATAACACTTGGTATGCATGTTGTAGTGTGGGTCATTTTTGACAAATCATTTTCATATTAATAGCCATTTTATTCATGTTGATTTTGTCCCAAGTAATCAATTCCACCCCAAGTACAACATTTCCACCACCACTTACTCAAAATGTTGGGCAATAGTGTCCGAGTAGGTGCTGTGTCAACATCTCTCAAAATTATATTTTGATGGAAAACACAGCAAAAGTAGTGTGGATAAAGGTCAGGCAATGCAAGACTATAAGTCATCACATTCATTACAACCAGGGCTGCTACAGTGATTATTTTCATTATTGATTAATCATTTGGTTAAAAAAAAAATCATAATAGTAAAGAATATCCATCACAATTTCCAAAAGCATAAGATGATATATTCAAATATCTTAATTTTCCAACCAACAACCCAAAACCATAATGTATTTAATTTAATATCATAGAAGACTAAGAAAACGTAACAATATTCACATTTGAGAAGCCGGAACCACTTTTTTGCAGTTTTGTTTTAAAAAATGACTTAAACAATGAATTAAGCAATCAAGAGTTAATTTCCTGTCGCTCAACTAATTGATAAATTGACTACTCACAGCAGCTCTAATCACAACATTCAACTGATAACTATAACAACAATACTATTTTAATAGTAGCTTCAATTAAAAGCCATGCATTTCCAGGCAGAAAAACAATGACCATCATTTACATTTTTCTTTTATGGAAAACATCTTTAATGGATTTTTAAGTATTGTCTTGTCAAGTGACTACATAGAGATACAAATGTTCTATCCTAACTACAGTCAGGGCCAGATATTTTTAGGAACCAGTAGAGTGCCTGTACAAAAAACACTTCATCACATGGTAGTGTGTCTTCTCAAGGCTGGAGACACAGGGCTAATCTGACATTAAGCCTTGTGCTACAGTGGGTAAATTTAGTCCCAAAAAAAATCAATGTAAGTCAGGGACTGCAAATCCACAAAATACTCACTGTAGATACCGACACACAGACGTAAATGAATAATAAACTTGTGTGTCTGGACACCATCCCCCCCCCTCCAGGATGTGTTTTTCCTCTCTACTTGTAGAATTCATGCTCCTGCTCATCCTTTTTGATGACGGTCTTGTAAGCTTTTTCGAAGTCTTTGGCCAGGACGATATACCTATTCTCACGCACTGCCAACATGCCAGCCTGAGACGAGGAAGAAGTAAGCAGAAGGAGGAAATGGAAAAATGAATGTTTATATTTTGTTAAAAGATTGTTTACATTGCCACTAGTTTTTCTTTTGTGCACCTCCAAGAAAAGAAAAGAACTTGTAATTTAACAGATAATTAAAGCTCACCTCCTGGCAGATGGAGTTGATATCTGCTCCAGAGATTTTGTCTGGTCTTGCCACATCTGCACATCAGTTAAGGACAACTCAAAATACAAGTACAACAGTCCTTAAACAAAAGGATATTGGAATGTAATTGTGAACAGGTTGCAGACTCTCACCCTTGTTACTGTTTAAATTGCCAATGCACCAGCTATTGTGTTTTAATTAGGGGTTCCATTTTGCCTTTGTGATTCAGAGTTTGTTTTTTGCAGGTAGCACAAACAGACCAGAACAACAACTTTATTGTCCTGCATAAACTGAGTCTGGTGGCATCCACAGAGAGCTGTTATCAGTCACATGGGATGTCAATGTCCCTGCATACCACAGTTTTGACACTACAGAAGAACAAAAACTTGTTCACAAGTCAGCAAGAAAAAGCATCTCACACTATGTTTACTAGCTATGTGTTCAATTGTTGATTTACCATTTTTTTACTGCATAAACTGGCTTTAATTTAACATGAGCTCTACCCTGTTGTATGTTTTACAGTGGTAATAATACAATTTTAGCATCCCTGACATTAAGCTGAATTCCCATCATGAACTAAATATCTACCCACCTAAAATAGACTCATTAAGTAACACATGTACCCCACAGGATACTGCACCCATGCAAACATATCTACTGTACACATAATAAATGCAATCCAAGGTCAGGAAAAGCCCAAAAGGATACAGTCCTCTAGATCGACCTCCTCAGAGAGGTTCATTTTACTGGTGATGGTGGTGAAAATGAGACGTTTCTGCCTGCGGTCAGGCAGGGGGAACTCAATCTTTCTGTCCAGACGACCAGGACGTAGCAAGGCAGGGTCCAGCGTATCTGCTCTGTTGGTGGCCATGATCACCTAAGAGGGTTTTAAAATGTCAAAAGATGCCATGTAAATATTGTAATGAATTGTAAACATCTCATGATATAGGGTGTAAAAACTCTTCCTAGAAGTAAGCAGCCACCCTCTTTAAATACTGATTTCTTTGTGAGCTCTGAGAGCTGCATTCTTAAATATCTTATGGTCAAGATGTCCTTTTCAGGTTTTGAAAAATTAAAAAATGTTGGTTGCTAAGCTGAATGAATGGACACAAGACATAGTGATAATGGCATAGTGAATGCAGAGTGACAGTGCTCAAGCTCCAATACTGGCACCACAAGTCAGCAAGTACAGAGATGGCACAGTCGCAGGGGGAAAGTTAAGAGCTTCCTCTGACAGTTGAACTTGATTTACCTTGACATTGACGTTCTGGTCAAAGCCATCCATTTGATTAAGCAGCTCAAGTAAGATTCTCTGCACCTCCCTATCAGCTGCAGAAGAAAAACAACAAGGTCAGAGGGAACATTTTTACCACGATGCACCTGCATTTTCAAGGACATAATCAGGGAACACAAACATCTCAGAATAATGACTTCAATAAGAAAAACTACAGTTGTGTTTGTCCATAAAAACTGAAATCTGTAACAAATCTTGATTGAAGGGGGGAAAATAGCAAACCCGACCTCGCCCAGAGTTTGAGCACAGTCTTTGACATGTTACTGGTTTGGCTTGTGGCTTGTGAACCACACACGTTCATACCTCCAGTTTGTGCATCAAAACGCTTTGTGGCGATGGCATCGATCTCATCAATGAAGATTATGGCCGGGGCATTTTCCTTTGCCAGCCGGAAGACATCACGAACCATACGAGGGCCCTCACCCAAATACTTCTGAACAAATTCAGAGCCCACCACACGGATGAACGCCGCTGGGTACAGAAAAAAATTAGACAAGGATTAATTTGTCAGAAAGAACATTATCCTGAGCAATAATCTATAAGTTAACTACAGTAGCTACTGTAGATATCACTTGCACTTCTGTAGTAATCAGTGTCATCAAGTAATGACAAAATGTTAGTGTTCAAATCATCATGCATTGTCAACATAAAAAAGGGGCAATGGATTTTCTTTGAATTGATATCTTTCACAGCCGCTGTTAGCAGCTGTTGTGTTTGGTTACTTTCCGTGTTTGTTTTGCCAGTACGCTAAGCAGGTTGTGCAATGCCCGTTTGAGGATTGGCTGGATTTGGTGAAGCCCAACATACTAATCCACAGACAATATCCAACAGTTGTCTATCAAGGGTTTAGGTTCTGTGCAGTGCCAAACACATACAGGTCTCTGATGTGGAGGGCTTACCTGTAGTATGGTGTGCCACAGCCTTGGCCAACATAGTCTTTCCACAACCTGGAGGTCCGTACATAAGGACACCCCTGGGTGGGTCAATGCCAATCTGAGAAAGTAAATAGACCAGAGTTATTAAGTATCTAGCACAGGTTTTCAACATCAGAGAGCAAATTCATGTTATTTCATTCATTGCGACAAGCAGTGTAAAATCCATAAAAGATATGTCAGTTTTCATGTCAGAATGTCCCATTTCACTTGAATATCTGACCTGTTTGTAGAGCTCAAAGTGTGTGAGTGGCAGCTCTACAGCTTCTCTGACTTCCTGCTTTTGAATGTCCATTCCACCAATGTCAGCATACATCACATCTGGCTTTTGGTCTGGGACAAAAAGCACAGAAAAAAGAAAAGTTATATCAGCTTTGCTATTTAAACACAGTAAACTCTATACAAAATCCCCAACCTTCTTCAACAGCTTAGAAGAAAATGACAATGTCTAAGTATTTTAAAGAGGTGGTATTATGCTCATTTTCAGGTTCCTATTTAGGGAGTGAACCAGAACAGGTTTACATGGTTTCATTTTCAAAAACCACATATTTTGTTTCATACTGCACATTGCTGCAGCTCCTCTTTTCACCGTGTGTGTTGAAGGCTTCGTTTTAGCTATGAGTGATACATCTTGTCTCTAAAAGATCTTTGCTGGGGGTTGCACACGCGCAGTTCCTAGTTAAGGACTACAAGCCAATCAGAAGCAGAGAAGGTGCGGGTCAGCAAGAAGCCGGTAAACCACTTCAATTTCAGAATGGTGAGTTATTAATCTGTAACAAAAGTATCTTTCATCCATAAAGTTATAACTGAGCTCTGTTGTACATCACAGTAACAACTTTATGTCCATTGACTGCCTGGACGGTAGCTAGTGTTTGGAAGGGAGAGGAGGTGTGTGCTGCAGCTCAGTTTTTCCACCGGTGTTATAGGGGGCGTGTCGGACTAGCTGCTTGGCGAGTGTTATATGAGGCGCATTTAGCTTTCATCCCTGTTGATGTCACAGGGAAACGGCTGGACTATAAATGAGCTGTTTTCAAGCATAGTTTTCTGTGGGAGATGGGAACGCCCTTTGGGCTGGACTTCCAGCTTTTTCACTTTGCAAACCTATTACATGCTCAAAAAAGGTATATAAATCAATAAAGGAGAGGGAAAAAAACAAAAAGCATAATACCACCTCTTTAATGGATAAGATAAATGGCTAACTGATCAAGAATTGAGTGAATTGATTATTTGATAAAACAAAAAAAAATTATGACACTAATAGAAAAATGTAGTCTCCAGATATGACCACGGTCGTCTTTGTTGAGGAGCCATTTCATAAACTTGTCTAGAAATCCCCTGGGAGAGAGTGTTTTACCTGACGTCAGCATCATGATGCTGCTGTCAGCTTCAGGAGGGAGCACATCCACTAGGGCGTTGCTGTGCTTGTGCAAGGCCACTGAGGCATTGGGTTTCAGCAGCTCTCTGTCGATGGTGCTCAGGATGCGCACATAGTAGTTGGACCCTGAGAGGGGAACAGCGTTAAATAAAAAGGAGAAAGAACTCATTACATATTTAAAACATGTACTTCACACTGAATAATTAAAATTTGACAGCGCACAGCACATCTTTTCCAGGTTCTCCCTCAAGACTTTGAAAGCCTCAACATGATAAAGCATTCACATTTACAGTTTGAATGCATCATCTGCCATGAATTCAGCTTTATCTATTAATTTATTTATTTACAAATAAATAGTTACTAAACATACCAAAATAACAAATGTGTGGAAACAGGAAACAACAGATTCTATTTTAGTGTTCAGACTGCAAACTAGATGGCAGCTTTAACGTGCCACATCTATCCCCTAACATCTTAAGGACCAGTCCAGCACAGTTCCAAATCTAGTGTGTCTTTAAATGCTATGATCCCACGTAGTAGCCATGTCTTCTGTTGAGATTGTGTATACACACAGGAATCCAGAAGTGAAATTCAACACCTTTTAAGACCTTTTCAAGACCATTTCAACATAATTTAAGACTGCCGCGCCACTTGGAGCTGTAACCGGTTAAGTCAACCTCACACAAAAGGGGAATTGTGGAGTTTTTAAAAGGAATTTAAACATATTTATAACATTTTATTGCCTATACGTGACCAGGTTGTAACCTCACCTTAAAATTGAGGCATTCACCAACTTTCTCAGTTGCCTATAACAGCCTGTTAAGGCCTACTGTTTTCTATGTGAAGGACTTGTTGGATTTCCCGTGAAAATCCATTGTCTTAAACAGGCTGTGATGTTTATGTGCTCAACATTACGGCAAAACATGTGAAACAGTGTGATTTTGTGTTTTAGTTGGTTCAAACTAGATAATGTTAGCTTGCCCGCAAATGCCGACCAGTTGATAACTACCTGACATAGTAGTAACTTATTTTCAGTCACAAATATGTAAAGCGTATGCTGTTGGTTGCAATCTGAAACCTTACTGCTAGAAGCCACTAAAAACCACACAACCCACCTTTAACTTAACTAACTTAAAAACTAAACACTCTTTTTGTGATAACTTTCATCGACCATTGAATCAATACAACTTAATTCAAATAGGCCAGAAGGGAACAAAGGTGAAGAGAATAAACTGAGTGATGGATAACGTCTGTAGTGTAGGCAGTGTAGCACAGACATTTGCGATCAACAGCTGCTGTCTGCATCCTAAAGCTGATTTGTGTAAACTTTAGTAAAACAGATGTAAAATAGAACAAGGAGAACATGTTGCTCTCAGGAGGAGGAGGCTAGAATCAGCACATATTGGCACAATGGCATCCTGGCTCTGGCTAAATCTTTCCACTACAGTGGCTCGATCCACAACCTGAAGGAACTAGTACAAATGAGTGAGTATATTAGTAGTAGTAATAGTAAACTGTTAGTTTTATATTAATATGTTAATTATATGTTGTAACTATATTCATTATAATCAGTATAATCTATATTCTATAATAGCATAGTAATAGCTTACCACTAATATAATATTAATTCCAGTTACAGCTGTTTCATTTTGGGGTTGTTTTTTTATTCATTAACTTTGTGAAAGAAAAATATTCTACAGTTAGTCAGTCTCTAACTTTAATTTTAAGTAGGCTACTAACTCGTCAATAATCATAACTATTTAGGCAGAACGATTAGTTCAACATTTGGAAAGTTTGCTGTAGCACATCAAACTTTCAGGCAGTTGTGTTCAAGCAGCCACAGAGCTCAGTCCAACCATGTTTTGAACAATTAGCATTGGGTATCCGGCGTGGTGGAACGTTATTGTCTGTTGTGCTCGTTTTCCGGTTTGCACGGATCTATTTTAGCTTATTTATTTATTTGGCACGGTAGATCCTAGATCTCCGCGCCTAACGTTACACAGAATAAAAACGTGCTACGTTTTGCCTGTCTAATAATTTTGGCTATTCAATCTAAATATTTGGACAAAAAGGATGTTCACATAGACAAAAATATCTACAAAATTTAATACCCTGTTAAATGGCGATCAAGACTTTTTAATACTTTGTAATGGCCTTAATTTACACAAAATTTATTTATTACCTTTCAAGACTTTTTAAGACCACAACTGCCACACGAAGAAGAATACATAAATATAAATGGGTGCATGCATGCAACACTAGCAAAAACTGAGTATTAATAATGTTGGGATTTGCAATGATTCAGCTGCCTTTTTTTCCAGGTTTTCAAGTGTTTTTGACTTGTAAAGACCTCTAGTGTATATTCAAAGACTTTTTATCTCCAGGACATCCTGCAAACTTTCCTGCTGGAACAACATGAAGTAGAGGTGATGCTCTGAGGTCAGCAGGGTCAAACAGAGCTTCCTCTCTATGTTTTTAAAACTTAAAATTAATATTGCCAGCACATAATTATTTTTAGTAGATGTAGGTCTTTCTCATTTAGGTTTTTTTCAGTTTTTTCTTCTTTTAATGCTACCTGTAGTGGAACCAACAATGGCTGTGTTCTGGTCAACAGCTTCCAGGAATTGGCCAATGACAAGTGGGATGCTCTGTATCCTCTTCACCTCCTCCTGGGCATGGAGGAACTCTTTCTTCAGGTTCTTCTGCTCATCTTTGATGTACTCCTCCTGCACCTCCAGGAACTCCAGTTCCTGTTGCAGCTTCTGCAAATATACAACAAAAGGAGATGATCAAAGAAAATTTAGAGCCTGCAGGAGATGAAAGTATCATAAATCTGCTTGCTGGAGATCACAGACCAAAGTTTTTGGCTTGTGAGTAGACACAAAGAGTTGAAGAACCACTAAAAACAATGAACATTTAAGAACAAACATCACCCTTAACTATATGTAGGATCACACATTACTAAGTAAACGAGGATTTTTCAAAGTGTGAGGCGGGCCTCCCTAGGGGGTCTCCAACTGGTTTCAGGGGAGGCTCAGTGAATGGAAGTGAAACAATATTACATTACTTATGGCATTAGTTATCAAAAGGAGATCATACAGAATAGCCTATGTGTGAGAGTTCAGAGATACAGTAGTTTTTGGGAACTGTTTTCCCCCCCATTCACACAAAAAATAATAAATGTCCTAGGACATAACTTTTTTTTTAAAAACTATTTGAAGTTATGTCAAACAGCAATATTGGGCTCAAAGGTTGAGTGTCAGTGTCAGATGCACCAAAAAGTTAATATCCGAAACAGATATTCTTTTAAATGTTCAATATGTCTAACTTAAAAAATATATGTACTGACACAATGTTGCTAGAATGGGAGTTTTCTTTGCAACTTTTGACATACCTGTCCCCCTCTGACGCACCTGTCTCTTGCTATAGAGGTGCAAAGTAATTAATTGTTCTGAAATGTTCAATATGAACAGAAGTAGACAGTATATATATTAGGTGAAAATTATGTAAATATGATGTGGGCAGCGTTTCAGAGGTTTTAAAAGGGTAACTTGTACAAGTTTGTTTCAAGTCATCTGATTTATATGTTTCTGTATTGGAATCAAATACACCTGAATTTAAGCAGACCACAGCCTTCTGTTATCCATGAACACACAAAATAAACATATCATTCACCTTTGAAATTTACAGATCTAATTTGGACAGATTATAAACTTAACAAATGTATGAATCAGACCTTGTATCGGCTGTAAAGGTCCTCAAGATCTTCTGGTTCTGGTGCCAGAAAGGACAGACCTGTCTGAGGTCTGGAGGTCAGTATTGCTGGCATTTCGTCCTGTGAGTGACAATAACACAACAACATTTCACATGCAAGTTATAAACTATTGTATTTTACACATCAGTGATGAGCTTGTATTGTACCCAACAAACAGAAATGTATATTTATAGTAACGTTACAAACTACTTTCAGATCAGGATCGAAGGATAGCAAAAAGATAACTTTATGGAAACATTCCCAAAAACAACAACTGAATGCTAGGTTTTTACATTGCACTAGACAACACTAACCTTAGCTTAGCTACACTTAGCTCGTTAACAACTAGCTAACTTAACCGCTCGTAAAAACACAATCCGACTAGCCTACACGTTACAGATAACAGCCGTTTCAACGCATCGGTAAACATAAAAACATCAACATCAATCTTTGGTGGATACAGTTTTATAAAACCTTCAACTTAATTTAAACACACTGTTTGTCTTGAGCTCTACTAAAATCATGCTAATGCTAACAGCTAACTTGCGTGACATATCAACTGCAATGAGTAGAGAATGAATTGGCAGGTTTACGTTTCTGCAATTTCAACGAACTAACAACGGGTAAAAGATAGCGACAAAAAACACATTGACAGCAACACTCAAAAATGTGTATTTACAAAAGCCTACCACAGAAACTCTGTCAATTAGTTAGTTGCAAAACAGGAAACAATCTTCCTAATTCATACCGGGCTCTTTTCTACAGCTACGATGTCCTCCATGTTGAAATATGCCTACCAACTGACGTTAAAACGTAATAAGACGTAATACGTAAAACGTTGGCAGAAGGTTGTATGGGGAATGGAGTTCTTATTCGTCTTCTTTAAGCTGCCATTAATCTACTTATAAGGTGCATAACGCCACCTACTGTACCGGAGCATGTAGTTAGAGATATTGTCCCTGAACTACTTTCATCGAGATAAATCAAGTTAAAAGCCAGAGTTTCCTTCAAGCCTAACTGACTATTTGTGATTACATTTTTTACTTATCTGATTGCAGATAACTGTTATCATATATTGTGTTTAAAATGTGTAAATATTTAAACATCTACATAGAACGTTAATTGCATATTGATTGTATATAGTGTGTAGGCTATATATTTTTACTATGTAGAATCTTCTCTTCTCTTGCTAAATAAGTTGACACAATGTTGATTCTCATCTTGTAATTGATCTAGCCCATTTTTACCTCAGAAGGCATTTTCTTCTAACATGTAATCAAGACCGACAAACTGTCAGATTTGACACCACTGTTATTAGTTTGAAATTGTTGTACATGATGATCTCTTTCTTCACCTCTTCTCTGGACATTTGGTGCCTGGTATGTGCACCGTAATCTTTCCACCATCTTCGTTACCTAACTTCAAAATAATAATTACTGCTGAAATTAGAATTCTCCTATTCCTCAGCAATTTAGCACTTTGTTTTTCCAATTTCCATCTCCAATGGTCACCTGAACTCAACAGAAGTGGCCCTTTTCATCACTGAGCATGAGAATAACTTTCCATTCCTCATTCAAGTTCAAGTTCAAATTAATTTGTCCCTGATTGCAATAGGTTTTGCAGCATAAGTTCAACATAGAAAACAAACGTAAAATCACTTAAGAGTCACACAGACTCAGCAACACTGCATCAATGAATAAGCAGTATCATCAGAACAGCATGAACATCATTCTACAAGTTGGTCTACATACTCATGATGGGTAGGCCTAATGTCTATGGATATCTGTTAGTTTTGACTGAGGGGACCCTTAAGTGGGTGACAGAGAGTAGATTGAAACTGTAGATGAAGAGAGCTCCCCTGACACATACTCGTTTAACCTCGCCATCTATGAGTAACTTGCTAAAACCCACCAAATACACATTTTCCCATCTTTAAAAAAATATATAAAGGTAAAAGAATGAATGCCAAAAATTATAGAATGACATACAATTTTTATGATTTACATGAAAATTGAGAGTTATTTTATTGTTTTTATACAACTTCACCACAGGCAAGTGTATATCCCAAAGAGCCTTGTCTTGTGCAAGTGGGTGTGCATAAAGTCTTCACACATCTGCACACCACTGCAGTTTCCATTCAGAGCTCAACTGTTAAATGGTTGATTAATATTGAAGATAGACGACTGGATTAGAACTGTAACCTTTCCCGTGTGTGGGAGCGCACATGGAAAAAGTGGGTCATGTGTATCAGCAATTCATTGGCCTGTCAATCCTTACGTGGGAGGATCGTGGTTTGTTTAAAAGGCATCATTACATCATGGTCGGTCGCCTCAGTTGAAAAACAAGGTAAAGTGAAGCCTGCATGAAGAAAAGAACTCTGCATGTGAATTGTTATTCTAGATGAAATTGAAAGTTCTTTCTTGACCTTAAAACAGCATCAGACACAAGTAAGGTCCACCCACAGTAAGGTCCACTTACTCGCTTGTACTGCAGCTTTTGATCACATGGTCTTCAACAGCAGATACATTTTTCAGAGCTTCTTGTTCACGTTGGCCTAAGAGTTGAGCATAACAGTTACTACCGTTACATACCGCTTCTTTGAAACAATAAAACAATCTCAAATAACTTGCTTGCGAAACAGTCAGAATCTTTAGGACCAGCAAGTAAGTGGATCTTGAGTGGAGATTGTTTTGTCGATCACTGTTTCCAAGATCAAGACTGAACTGTCAAGCTCAATTTTTAAGCCAAAACGAACGAGTTGTCCCAAAAATGTTCAGAATTATGGAGTACCTGCAGTGTCCTGAAAATTGAGCCTGCTGATGAAGACTGTGATTCAGTCGAAAGCACCAGAATGTGTGAATAACTGGAACTTAAATGGAAATTGTTCTCACATCTGAAAACAAGTCCTTGTTCTCCTTTATTCATTAAAAGAACAAAAAGTACCACATCCTGTTACTGTGCTTTCACTTTTGAGCCAAAACGACAATACATTAGACCTGCGTGTGCTTCATCTGTTGCACTCAAAGGAGGTAACGTCTTCTTTTGTCCCAAGACATGCTGAAGATAATTTTGTCTGACAGGCAATGGATGTTTCTCTACTTTATGGTTTCAGGTACAGTATATAAAGATTTTTGACTTGCAGATAAAAATGTGTGTGTTTGTAAAAGGGATCCTTTTTTGAATCGTAAATGTTCTGTAGGCTCATTTGCAGGCAATTCCAAATTATTTCTCAAATGAGGAGAGACAGTTGATGCTATTTTCCTTCTTAGCAGTGGTATTGTGGTGTATGCACAAATCCTGTATTGGTGTATTTTTCAGACATGTAACAACAACAACAAGCTTCAAGTTAGATGAAGAATTGAACAATTGTTGTCTGATTCTTAGTTGCTCAATTTGTTTTAGTTCCATGACAAAACTAGGCAGAGAGAACCAACCAACTTAACTTGATGTTAGTGGACAGAGACAAAATATTTTTTATATTTTGTCTCTTAAGAGACAGTGTAAGGGAAGACAGGTGACAAGAGAGAAAGAGAGAGAGGTATACAACAAAGATCACCAGCCTGAAGTGATTAAAGGATGTTGTTGCAGTTATGTGGTTTGTGCCTTAACCTGCCTCAGATTTTATAATAATCGCTGGGTGTGAAACTGACTGAGCATCAGGCCTTCACATTCTCTCTGTATCATTATTTTATCCTCGATTACTTATACCCTTTGAAGATCGTGCAGCAACTCTTGGCTAACTTAATAAAACAATGTAAAGAATTTGTGGCAACTTTTACTTGACAGGTTTTTGGTAAATCCTTGGCTGTTGTGTTTAGGGGAATGGGAACCTCAACAACTGACTGCTGAAGCCAACATACAGTGGATAAAGACACATATCCTCCTACTAGATGCTTAATACAAAAAGAAAAATTGTACTGATGCTGTTAGGAAAATTCCAAGCCCAACTATTTCCTTTAAATATTAAGTCTGAACAAAAGTTTGGCAACATGCAGTTTCTTGTTCCACCTGAGCGGTAAATCTCTTTGTGTAGATTTGGATGTTTATTTTTTGGGTCCAGTGACTGCAAAGTTGGCATGACCCCAAACTTCAGTCTATAAAACATCCCCTCAGAAGTCATACGTTTTATATCCATATACTTCTCCTGTCTGTTGTTTTGGGGCATGGCTTGACCTACCTGTGAATTTAAGGTGCTCAATAGATGGATCAGTATTTTCCAGCTGTCTGAAGTGTAGAATAAAAGTGGAACTGCAGCAATCATATGATCATAAATTCAAAATTGTGTTCTTTATTAAGCTGAAAATTGGTTGGTCAAATTCCAGATAAAAACCATAAACTCATATTGCTTCAACCCTGTCAGTTGCTGCCTGTGGCTATATTCACAAGCATCATAACACGATTTTAATAGAACCACCCATGTGGAGGTTGAGCATTACTGTGAGACACTGAGATTATTACGGTTAACCAACTTCCTGATATTGTTTTACTTTGATGGCTGTTTTTCAGGTACTTGCTGCCTTGTCACAGTCCACCAGCCTCCTGTGCTTACCACTGCTCTGGGTGATGATGTCATGATGCCGTGCCAGCTCAACATATCCCACAGTGAGAAAATGGTGACCTTACCGGTTCTGTATTGGGTGTACGTAACACAGGGCCCTGTGAGAACCAAAGTGTGGTTCCCCTCTGGGAGATATGAGGGACGTGTAGACCTTCTGGACAACAATGCAAACTCTTCAAACAAGTCCATACACCTCAAGAATGTCCATTGGGCCGACAGCGGGAAATACCTCTGCAAACTCTCCATGACCACACAGAGGGCTAAAAGTTTCAGGAAGATAGGAGATGGAACTTTCCTGTTGGTTCATGGTAAATACAAGATTTTAGATTATTCGTTTCCAGTTTATTGCTGTAAAGTGGTACCAAATGAAATATACGTCAAAGGGAGAGAAAGACATGAGAATATTTTAACAGTCTGAACATCTGCATGTAATCTCAGGCTTTTGGTTCAAGTCCAGACAATTAGAACAAAGGTTGGTTTATCTGGATGATTAAGAAAATCTGAGGGGCAGTACAAATCATGAGGTACCTGTACTCAAGTTTTTCTATTATATGCCACTTTACACTGCTAGAGGTAAAAACTGTACTTTTTACTCCCCTATGTTTATCTGACAGCTTCAGTTACTAGTTACTCTGCTTTGCAGATTCAGATTAACAATACAAAATACATAAATAAATTATGATAATATTACATCAATGAGACTTTATTGGACCCCAGGGGAAATTCACAAGCTATCAGGCCTATGTAAAGTAATACATAAAATAAATACAAATAAATTAAAATTAGCCCAACCTTTGCCAGCTGCAACATTAAAGCTATTAACACATCAATAATAATCAAATAATGTGATGTACATTATTCTGAAATGAGTTGAAAAATGATAATGAGTAGGCTACTTAAGTGCTTTGTGATGTTAATACCTTTGTACTTTTACTTAAGAAACATTTTCATATAGTGTGGTATTAATTTTGCTTAAGTAAAATGTCTGAGTAGGCTACTTCTTTTTAAGGCCTAAGTCTTAGTGAATTTATTCTTAAATAACATTTACATGGCTATCTGTATCACAATGTTATTAGCATTACTTGGGTTTAATACTAAAGGAAATTTAGGGTTGCTACCCCTCCCTTAAAATATGGAATCGTCCCATATTTGAGAACTAAACAGCGCTTCCCGTTTTGAATCAATAAGGGACTTGTCCTTTTCTCCCCCTGACTGGGTAATACTCGGGGCCATTGTTGATTTGATTAATACCGTCAGGTTCAGGGCCAATCGGAGTCAGATGAGGGCGCGTCTCTTGGCAGGGGCTCGAGTTGATATAACAGCTAGTAGGCCTACGTGCTCCAATACTGCACACAAGTCTTTCCAATCAAATCGTATCTAAGCATTTGTTTTAGCCTATTTATAGTTCATAAGTTATGGACATGTTGATTTAATAAGTTAATAAAATACAGTTCATATCCTATTTTTTGGTGGTTTCACTGTCATAGCTGTGTATTCAGCTATGCCAATATGAACACTAGTCTTTTGAGCTGTGATAGAGAGTTCATCTGTTCACACTGAATACAATAGCAGATAGCTTATTATAATGTCCATTGGTATCAATCTTAATCCTTTCCTGAAAACATGTTTTAAGTTATGATATGATATATATATATGTATATGTGGCCCCCACTGCGGTAGGTGTCCCTTATTTTTCTGCATTGAATGTGGCAACTCTAAAGGAAATACAATTAAAGTTTGTGTAATTGAGTCTTTGCAGTCCAGTCAGGGATGAGGATTTGCAGGTTATAGTCAGCTTTCTGCAATAACCTTTTTTCCAGTGTCTTTTACTCGTGTCACATGTCATTTGTACTCTATCTATGCATTTTGCTTTTTTTCATAAATGACTTACTTCTAAAAAACATTTAATGATTTTCATGATTTTAACCCTTTCAGTGACAGTTTAATTGTTTGAATTGTTAATTATTTAATACAAAAAAAGTGAATTATTTTCCATAAAAGAAATAGTAGGAGGATGGTTCTTTGGTGGTAATTGGAGTCTTGGATATGACAAATATTACCAACAAAATTGATTTGATTGCATTAGTATTTTTATGTAGTGTCAAATACTCCCTCACTTGTATTTATGAATAATCATTCAGTCTTTCTTTGACACATCCAATACTCTAATTATCACTAAAGCCCCATCCCCCTACTATTTATTTTATGGAAAATAATGATTTTTTTGTGCTTTTTGTAATAAATAATGAAATAGTTCAAGTAAATAAACTGGAATTTAAAGGGTGAAAATCATTAAATGTTTGGCAGTTTTGAGCAGGGTAGAAGTTTTTGAAGTGAATTATGAAAAAAAGCAGAAAGAAATATTATTTATTTTATGTATGCATGTACATTTTTACCACAAAGGTGTCCAGAGGGTGCAAGATTTGAGGAGGGCATAAGGGATAATTGTATGTAAAATAATTCAAACAAAAGGTGTAGTAAATCTCAAACTGAAATAAACAAATACGTCTGTTTTCACAGCGGAACAATGCAAATTCAAGATAAATTTGCACAAAGAGAAAGAAGGTGTGCTCTTTCATTTGCCGAGCCTGTTTTCTAACTGCAGCAATCAGAAAAGGCACTATTTATATATCACTAATACAATTAAAATAAGCCAGTCTCTGATTGCTGACAACCTGCATGCAAACAAGTATTTAAAAGGTTATTGCAGAACATGTGAACAGTTTGTCCAATTTCTAGCCTTAAGCTAATTTCTTAAGGCAAATAAAAAATCTTTATTAATATCCAGGTTTTCAGTGTGAATGAAAATAAAAATGTCTCCATGATAGCTGGAAATTGCAGTGACAAAAAATAGAGGACTGATAAGAATTTTAAGATAATAGACAAAACCTTCAAACCTTGTGTTTGAGTGTTCTTTCTTATGCCGTGTTTCTGTCTGTATCTCTTTTCAGACACAATGATGTTTAACCTCACCAGTCACAATGACTCTCTGCTCTGGTGTGAAGTAAACGTGACCCAGGATCCTCGATTAGTTTTGTCCATTTTTCATGATGGACACAAACTCCAAACTGTTGAATCTGCTCTAGGAGAGAATGTCACAGCTCTGCCCTACGTCACGCTCTCTGAGGCTGTTTCTCTGAGGAGCGCTGGAAAATATGAGTGTCAGCTGCACCTGAACAAAGATCTGATAACAAAAAGCATCTTCCACTACCATCCATCTGGTAATTATCTGTAATACTAAGTCCTTTCTTTTGAGTCATTTTTTTTATCAATTATTCTAGTCTACAGTTTTCATTACAATGGAAGTTTATGCCTTTACCAAAGGAAACCAAGGCCTTAAGACCAAAATAAAATTCCTTGAATATGTGAAGGGGGCCTGTTCAAGCTAAACAGTATGATCCTTTAGCTGTACTGCAGATTATAAAACAAAACACTCTCGTTACCCAATTATGTCATACGTGCCCTGCAGGCTCAAACACAATCTTCACATTAACTCTGACATATGTGGTTCCAGCATAATTTCAGTTATTTATTCCCAACATCTGGACATATCCACTAACATCTGCAAGAAAGCTTGTCTTCCCATTCTCCCTCAAGACTTTCAGCTAAAAATGTCGAAGCATGAAAACATCAGTGAGCGTTATTTTAAAACTGCAGGCAGTTTTATGTTTAAGATGCTTCATTACCAAGAAATCATGCAATATGTCAACATTAAAGTGAAGACTCACAATATGTAAATGTTTTCTCCCTAGAAGAAGATGGATATGCTAAAAATGTTTCTGTAACATGTCCCACAACTACCTCTGGTGAGTCTGCAGCAAGCGCTCACTTTCTGCTGCTTTTGCTGTTAGGAAAAATGTTGGCTGCATTTTCTTTGCCTTTTGTCTTTGTTTTTTTTTTGTAATTTGGTCATTTCCCCTTTCATTTCAATTAGCTTCTACACAAGAAAGGATTTCAGTTAATCCAACACTGCATCAATGTGTGATTTAATTTTAGGATTATACTTAATAGCAGTGGTTTTGTGTTTCTCAACGCCAGGTGTGGAGATGTTTCCAGAACCATGGGCCATGTATATAGGTCTCCTCCTAGTGCCCATCACCATCCTGCTGGGCCTCGTAATTACCCTGCCTATGTGCAGAAGCTGAGTTTGTCAACATCTGGCTGGAACGGAGATACTTGGCAATGAAAATCCAGGCTGTCATCAGAGAAAAGAGACATGTCTCTCCGATGCATTTTCAGGATCAAAGGGACCAGCCGCAGTCAATTCAAGTTAAACCACTGTCAAATATTTACCTGCATCTGAATTCAGAGGCGGCAGCCTTCAAAGTCCTAAGGCATTGTAATGGTTCCACAAGGCTGTCCCATGTTAGAAATGTTGCTCTCTTTCCCTCACATTTATAGGACACATTCAGCTCTCAGAATCCCAAAATCCATTTTGAACCGGTCAGTTGTTTCATGATGCATCCTGGCAGTCATTGTTAACTCCCCGTGCAAGTTGCCCTGCTTTGACCCCAGGCTTCGACACCAGTTGATACAACTAGTGTGGCAGTATCATTGGCTCACAGAACATCTGATGTGGGGTGCACATTTAAACACAGGCTGCAACAAAGCCGTCCCAACAATTTATTGATAGCACTGATGGATGGATGGTGGATGATTTTCTTGTGTTCTGCATTATTAATCCATCCACAATCTTGGCAGTTCTGTAAGCTTCTGGATTTCCTAAACAAAGAAATATCTGTTCTTTCTTTGTGTCTAACTAGGAGTCTATGGTGGGTGGATGAAGATAAAGCAAGGCACGGTGGCTTGTGATTAAAATGTGCCTCCCACATCAGAGCCAATGCTACTTTCAACTGTCAATAACGTTTAAAGTTGGGAAATATCACGGGACTACGTCATATTTACCAGGTGCTTTCCTTTGAATGATTCATCAGTCACTGGTGTATATATCACATGAAGTGTGGACTGTTTTCCAGAAACACTACTGGGGCATATAATGTAAATCATGTAAACTGTGTCAGCCCCTGAAATGAATTGGGATGCAGCAAGTGATGATATGACAGCATCAAATACATCATGATGTTTTTGGCATTGAAACATGCACGTCAAACATTTTGGCAAAACGTGTTAAAGGCATTAAAATAATCTCATTGATGACTCTGATTTTAAAGTGGAGGGTCCCTGTGACTAAAGCACACCACAAAACAATGTATGTCTCTGTAATATACTGTTTATTAAGACATCATTGCAAATCACTTCTTATTCCAAATACTTAGAGGGATGATCTGCATCTATTGTTTCCTTTGCCTAACCACAACTTCTGCAATAATTTGTCTACCAATTTAAAATGCATATCAAAAAGAACAAAGTTATTTCTCTAATTTATGCATTCTTACTGCTCTCTGGTTGAATGTACAGACTCATGTTGATACTAGTCATACGTTTTGTTTTAGAATGTTGTTTTTTTATGTCTTCAGCAGAAATCTGTAACCTCAGTTTCTCCTTCCTCAGAAATCTGTTCTTCTGGTTCTCTTTCCCGTTTTCACCATTAGTTCCTCCACAACCCTTTCTATTTCTAACGATGACTGAAGCTAGTTGCACAAAAGAGGCAAGCATTTTTTTTTCTTTTACATATTAAACATTTGTGAATCATTTATGTGATAACTAGAGATATACCCACATGGCATTGGCTTAACATAAAGCATAAACCTAAACAACAATTAATCAAATGAGCAAATCTCAAAAGCAAAATCTGTAGCTAAAATAGACTCAACTGACCTCTTAAGTCAAATGCATAGTCTATCAGTGCATCAAACATGATTTTTGTATAAGAATCACTGAAGATAAGTTTACATTTGTGAATGAGTGAACAAGTTTATCTTACTGGATGGCACCTGATACAGAGATTGCACTATTTTGGGTTTTCTCTGTTATGTACAGAATGGTTATCACAAAGAAAGTAATTTTAAGACTGGAAGTCAGATACTGTAGCTCAGTTTAAGACTGAGCTCACTAGTATCTTACATTAGTCTTAATAAATTCTGGCAGCCATTTCTGGATTATCTTGCTCGATATGACACTGCATCTGATCAGCAATATACTCTGTTTTGTGCCGTCCACCTCTGTTTTGGAGAATTTGTGCCAACATGCGATGTGTGAGAGATACAGCAGTGTAATCAATTATTTTCTTGTTTGTTTGTTTATTGTCCCTTTTACTCTTTATTTTGTTTTCTGTCTCTGTTTTCATCCTCACTTGTTCTGTTGCAGTTAATCCATATATTTAAAAAGATGAAAAGGGATGCTGGTGGAATTAAGGACAGGAAGGTCACCCACACACACGCAGGAATGGTGCATTTGTCAGGGAGGGGACAGGGATGCAATCTGCAAAGTAATCCTCACTACTGGCATAATGAAATGGCCAAATCGAGAGATCAGCACACACACGCTCAGTGGACTGATTCATAGAGCAAGTCTGTGAAACTGTGGTCATGTTACATGTGGTTGTATGAGGGTGTGTAAATGATCCTTCCTGGCTGTTTATGTGGTTTAACGACTGAGAAAGAATGCAGAAGAAGAGTGGGTTTGAAACCTGACAGTTTAAAATGATGAGGAAAGTAAATGAGAAACCTTCCATGTGTCACGTCTGACACATGGAAGGTTGTCTTGTCTGTTTGCTAGATGTCAATTTATGTTCTCTGCCAGTTTTGGTCATTCTGCTTTAGTCTCTGTGTAGCCTTTATGATTATTCATCTGCATCTTTAAGTTACTTAGTATCTGTCTTGTCTCGTATCTCAGTTCCTAGTTTGGTGTCTTAGTTCTTAGTCCTGTACTTTAGTGTTCACTCCTGGTCTGTGTACTTCTGCGTTTTGCCCATGTCTAATCTGAGTTCTGTTTTATCTTTGCTTCAGTCTGTCTTCCTTGTTGTTAGTGTATTTGGGATCTGTCTGCTTGTGTCTGGATTAGTTTGTGGTTTTTTATTATTCTGATCTGTTACTACTTACTTTGATATGGTCCATGTTTAGTGTTCAGCAACTTGTGTTATGTCTGTTCCCCCTCCAGTAATCTGCCTGCCAGCCAGTCTCTCTGTTTTCCCCTTCTGTCTCTCTGCCTGCCTTGTTAGTCCTGATACCTGTCACCTGTGTTGCTCCCGCCCTGCTCGTTAGCCCCTGTGTATATATATTTGGTGTTTCTCTTCAGTCCCTGTCCTGTCGTTGTTGTGTGTCGTTTGAATGGTGTTCTGCTTGCTTTGGAGTTACGTGTACAGTTGTGTTGGAGCTTGTCAGCCACCATTATTTGTTTTTCCATGTTTTGGATTAAACCCTGGGACAGAATCTCTGCTCTTGTGCCGCGACTTCCAACCTCAAAGGGTTCCAGGTGCATGGTGGTGCATGAAGCCGAAAGTGAAACCATGGCTGACCGTGACAAAGTGTACACACAGTTGCACCCTCAGCAGTGTTTTAGGTGTTAATTAAGTCAGTTTAACTGCAACAACTGACAGAAATGGCCTACTTTACTAGTTCTGTGTACCCCTACATCAGTTGGTAACCCTCAAGTCAGTCAATGTTGTAGGTTATACTTCCTAATGTTTTGGCTTTTTAACAATAACTTTTATGCAGAGAAGGCGACTTTATGAGATTCTTTACTGTAGCCAGCTACCCAATAGGCCTAACATATTTCCACATCAGTGTACATGCAGAACAGGTTTTACTATATGACTGTATGTATTATTTTAATTTAAATACATGCAAATATACTTTTTGTTGCCTTTTAGTTTATGGTTTACCATTTACAATGTGTGCATCCATGGGCACTGACAGTTTTTTGTGACGTAATTCAGCTGCTACTTGTGAAGTCGGGGTACATATATTTTCCCCGAGTTCACAAGTAGGAAATCCGATTTCAGGTGGCGTTCCAGGATAGTTTTTCTAGTTGGAGGTCGGAAATTTCCCAGTTCCGAGTTGCCTAGAATGCAGCATTAGTGTCTTGGGCTCTCTTCTGTGTGTACTCATCAGAACCCTGACACAGTGTAGTTATGGATTAATTGGTTTTAAGTTGACTAACCCTTTTGAAATTCACCAGAGAGCCACTAAATGTCAGCAGTAAATGTGAAATTAGCTAAAGCAGTCGAAATATACTGTATATGTATACTGTACCTTACAATTTGTTAAATATTAACAAAAAATACTGTATTAAACATGGATATGAATCAACAGGCCTCTGGACAGACATGTAATTTATTTATTTTTTTCTTCCAAAGGATGAATCAGATTATACAGAAGCAGAATTGCACAACTGTTAGCTCAAAGGACATGAGCTTGACAGTGACACTGACTTGTGATTACTGTAAGCAGTTACAGTATAAATCAATGTGTAACACAGCATAATGTATATAGACATAATGCATATTGGACTAAGTTGCAAAATCAATATCAATATATTTTTAGCATCCAGTGAGTCAGATAGGTTCATTAAAGGGCCTTTAGGCCTATGTTCTTTTTCAATGAAATCACTTATTAATAATTGACTGTAACCTCGCATAGAAATGAACCACACTCCACATGTTGCTTGGAACAGCCATTATTCTGCTTCTTGTGTGAAGGAATCAGGTCTTTGTTTTGAAACCAACAAAACCGACACAGAGTTGGCTTTTATCCTATTGGACAGGTAAACTAACATTACTGCAAAGCACGTGACATATGTTATGCTTTAGTTGGCTCAAATTAGATAAGGTGACATGGAGGCTGTACACACTGGCTGTAGATGTTATGAATGATTACTCTGGCGATCCTTGTAGTTTATTACTTGTGGTACATATATATGAAATTGTAGATATTTTATGACCTTGTAACTCCCCAAGTATTCCCATCATAAATTGTTATATGTTTTATGTTTATGTTATGTGTTTTAATGTCTGCAACCTTGTTAATTGTGCTGCTGCCTGTCTTGGCCAGGACGCTCTGGGAAAAGAGATTTTTTATCGCAATGAGTTTTCTTTCTGGTTAAATAAAGGTGAAATAAAAAAATAAAGGTTAATTTGCCGGCTAACGCCGAGCAGTTGCTGATAACATACAGTGCAAAATATTAAAGTTGTATGGCTTTCCACATTACTTTACAGCTTACATTACAGCTAACGCGATCCATACTTTCCTGTGTCGGCTATCACCAATATTATGCCAAAGTGTTGATTTTTGCCTGCAAGAAATGATGTAATGATACAAAGCAAATGTGGAGTGATTTGTTTATACTAGCCTATAGTCAGTCCCTTCAGGATTTGGAGGGCCTTTTTTGTGATTGTTACAGCTTTTCTAAAGAAAATTGTGTTAAATGTTGCAATGTTTTGGGGCATTTCTTTTTTTTGCAATAAAATTGTAGGAATTAGTGAAAACTGCAAAGGTAGATGTGCTATTTCTAACTTTATAATTATAGTTGAACTATTAAAAAGTCCCTCCAGGATTTCGTGGGTGTAACCCTAACCAATTCCATGCACATTCAAACCAACTTACCTTGATTCTTTTACCCTGTGTTGGGACACATGGTGTTGCATCTGTGGTGTCCGAACAATAATGCTGCGATGATGTGTTGAGAAGAAATCCGCTTGACACTGTTCTTGATTATAAAAGTTTATTACATCAAAGAATTCAGCATCAATTACAAGCTCTGCAGCAGCTTGGAGAGTGACCCAGCCCGATGGCCACTCTGTCTCTCTGTACATTGAACACAGCTTATATAGGACATGTTTAGGTCTCTGCTAAAAACCATATAAGGGCACAGTCCCTTCATACACACTAACCTCTACTCCCCCTACCACTGGGTCAGAGGTCAAATTTCATAGAAGGGTTCACTCTTTGCACACCCATCAATCATTACTTCCCCTTAAGGGTTCACTGTGCCTCTGTCCAGCTCTGAGTCAGTGGTCAAGTTCTATAGGAGGGTTCACTGTCCCCATAAGGGTTCACTGTCCCCAGCTACAGAGCATTATGTTAAACTGTAATGGTCAAATGCACATATGTTATATACCACACATCCCAGTCAATTTGTCTTGTCTAACGTCCTGCATTCCTGCCATTCTCCGCGTATGTTTTGCGGTGGCAAAGTGATCGTTCATAGACAATTTCCTTATGTTCAACCACAATAATTGCTTTAATTATTTAGGCAAACGTGAGATGCTGGCACATATTTGTGACTATTGTTCAAAATTGCAAGTTGCAATTTGTTGAAGTTTTGTTAAATTTTTTTACGAAATCCTGCAGGTACGGTATAGTGATGCAAGGCGGGGCAGATCTGCCACTGTTTGCTCCTAACGTTCAGTTTACATTTATTGTCATTTTACCAATACTCAGGGAGGCTACACAGCAGTCACTGTACATTTACTTAACCCCACATAATAGCCCATAGAATAATGCAACATAAGAACGCAGGACAATATCTCAGTGGAAGACCCATTCACTACTGTAATGTAACTTAATGTCTAACTGTGATGAAGTGTGGCAATAACCTCATTTATAATATTCAGTCTAGCACACTAACCGTTTTCGTCATAATCCAGCTGTGGTAAGCCCTAATTGCTGAGCCTCCTGTTAAAGATACACAAATAGGGTTTGCTGCTGAAAAGCAGACAGGCGAGCTGTAGGTCTAACTCTGATGTAGGCTATCAAGTCGGCTAAATGCAAAATAGGTCTCTCTTTATTGACTTCATTCTCCTCAGATAGTTTTTCTGTGACATCCCTGTTCTCTTTGCCAACACGTGGGGGTTTCTGGAAGGGATGAAAACATCACATAAAATCCCTGTTGCCATAACAACGGTTCTATACTTCTCCCTCCTCCTCTTTCTCCATCCCTCTGCTGCAATGCATCACACCCTCCCTCTTCCTCCTCCTCTTGCATGCACCTCCCTCACCCAGCCTTCAGCCATGCCAAAGACTGAATAGCGCCGCATCCTGACACACCATGTAATTTCTGGAGGTTACTGATTTGTGTGTGTGTGTCCCTGATCCGCTTCTCTTTGTTTTGACTACCCGGTCAGCATCTCCAGGAGGAATATACAGGTCTCCAAAAGACATTTCCCACCGTCTTTTCTTGAACGCAAGAAGAAGAAGAAGGAGATTTTTTTGCGCCCTGACCCTCAAATCTCTCCGGTACTTCCCGGTGTGACAGCAGGGAGACTTCAAGCATCTGGCTGCCTGATGCGAGATGGAAGCAGTCCACCTCTGATCCATCAATAGGACGAGGCGTTTCGAGGATATCAGTGAGGGGAAAGCGCAGATTTCTGGGGATTTTGGTAAAGGAGACCGCCGAGAAGCAGCGCTCGGCTCTGCTGCGTTATTGGACTTTAAAGAAGAGGACACACATTTATGCATTTTGTTTTTGCAAAATCACCGATTTAAGATTGTAGTTTCTTTTATGATCACCCGATTTTTTTAAACACAAAAACAATCACGCCCTATCTCACTTCAGTCACACCGCTGGAATGCACAAATTAATAGCGCACTTTTTTAGTCTCCAAAGACGCACAGAAGGCGTGCAGCCGTGTAAAGAAACCCCTTAGCTGTTCAGTGCATGCTTTCCAGCCCGCTTTCAGACCGCTTTCAGACCCGTGTCTTATGCTGGTGGTGATCCATCAGAGCACCAGAGCCACCTTTGCTGTTGCGGTCAAGCCTGAGAGGACCATGCCCAGACAGCCGCTAAACCAATCAAATGGCTTAACTGATGTGCACAAACAGCGGATGATTTCACTTGAATAAGTCAGCCCGACTCTGCACTAGATTTCTGTCTAGAGCTTTATCTGAAGAAGCCTATAGTTGTGAAACTGCTGCGTTGACTCCAGAAAGAAAGCAATAACACTGATATGAGGCAATAACAATAAAAAAGTCATAATTGTAATTTCACCCAAAGCTGAAGAGAGGTGGAAAGAAGCACGAGGATACTTCACGCTGCTTTTGCCATTTCCCTCACACTGTGGCTCTATGAAGCACTGGCCCTCCTTTTTGCCCAGGTCAAATCTGTAGTCCTGCATGTGGGAAAGGTCAGCTAGATGTTTCCTGTCACAGGCACACTTGCACTATAACTCCATTGCACAACTCTTTTACAAGCTGCATTTCCCATTTTCAGCATAGATTCCATCGGACACCTCATCGTTTCCTATCAGATCAGCTAATCAGTCTTCCAGTAGATTTTATTGTTATTCACTGACAATTCCTGACTGTATCAGGATACTGGAAATATTTGGTGCACACAGTCTCATTGTGGAGCTAAACAGGCTTGAGTGCCACAGAGTATAAATAGTTGAACAAAGACCCTTTTAGAGTAACAAGAGGCCGAAACCTGAAACCCGGAATGATTCCTCCCTTTGGTCACTCTGTACGCTCACACGCTGAGAAGCTAGAGAGACTCTCCAGCAAAATAGAGTGAGTTGGGTCCAGTGAGGGTGAAGAAACAAGTCAGCAGAGCACACGCCTTCCACACTGCAGCCGTCAGGTGCTCAAGAAGACCAGATCCACAAAAATGCCCACCCAACCCTCCGTCCAGCCATTGTATTAGCTGGAGAAAAAAGAAGAGGAGGAGTAGAGGACATCCGGTTGGACCACACCCCAGAGTCCCAACAGCCCCAGGAAATAGTCTCCTCTTCTCACCTCCCAGACTTTTAAGTAGGACAT